GTCCATTCGTTTATGGCCTTCTCTGCATTAATTATTCCAGTTATCAATTCTTCCACTTTTTTTTCAAGATTTTTAGTTTCTTTGTGCTGGGTACGTAATTCCTCCTTTAGCTCTGAGAAGTTTGATGGACTGGAGCCTTCTTCTCTCATCTCATCAAAGTCATTCTCCGTCCAGCTTGATCCGTTGCTGGCGATGAGCTGCGTTCCTTTGGAGGGGGCGATGCGCTCTTATTTTTTGAATTTCCAGCTTTTCTGCCATGCTTTTTCCCCATCTTTGTGGTTTTATCTGCCTTTGGTCTTTGATGATGGTGACGTACTGATGGTGTTTTGGTGTGGGTGTCCTTCCTGTTTGTTAGTTTTCCTTCTAACAGTCAGGACCCTCAGCTGTAGATCTGTTGGAGATTGCTTGAGGTCCACTCCAGACCCTGTTTGCCTGGGTATCAGGAGCAGAGGCCGCAGAAGATAGAATATTGCTGAACAGCAAGTGTACCTGTCTGATTCTTGCTATGGAAGCTTCCTTTCAGGGGTGTACTCCACCATGTGAGGTGTGGGGTGTCGGTCTGCCCCTAGTGGGGGATGTCTCCCAGTTAGGCTACTCAGGGGTCAGGGACCCACTTGAGCAGGTAGTCTGTCCGTTCTCAGATCTCAGCCTCCATGTTGGGAGATCCACTGCTCACTTCAAAGCTGTCAGACAGAGTCGTTTGCATCTGCAGAGGTTTCAGCTGCTTTTTGTTGTTGTTGTTGTTGTTGTTGTTGTTGTTGTTTAGCTGTGCCCTGTCCCCAGAGGTGGAGTCTACAGAGACAGGCAGGACTCCTTGAGCTGCTGTGAGCTCCACCCAGTTCGAGCTTCCCAGCCACTTTGTTTATCTACTTAAGCCTCAGCAATGGTGGGCGCCCCTCCCCCAGCCTCGCTGCTGCCTTGCCAGGAGATCACAGACTGCTGTGCTAGCAATGAGGGAGGCTCCATGGGTGTGGGACCCTCCCAGCCAGGTGTGGGATATAGTCTCCTGGTGTGTCCGTTTGCTAAGATCCTTGGTAGAGTGCAGTATTGGGGTGGGAGTTACCCGATTTTCCAGGTGTTGTGTGTCTCAGTTCCCCTGGGTAGGAAAAGGGATTCCCTTCCCCCTTGCGCTTCCCAGGTGAGGCAATGCCTCACCCTGCTTCAGCTCTCACTGGTCGGGCTGCAGCAGCTGACCAGCACTGATTGTCAGGCACTCTAGTGAGATAAACCCAGTACCTTAGTTGAAAATGCAGAAATCACCTGTCTTCTGTGTCGCTCGTGCTGGGAGTTGGAGACTGGAGCTGTTCCTATTCGGCCATCTTGCCAAGTGTCCTGATCTGTGATGATTTAAAGTCTGTTCTATCAGGGACTAGGATTGCAAACCCTGCTTTTTTTTGTTCTCCATTTGCTTGGTAGATCTTCATCCATCCCTTTATTTTGAGCCTATGTGTGTCTCTGCATGTGAGATGGGTCTCCTGAATACAGCACACTGATGGGTCTTGACTCTTTATCCAGTTTGCCAGTCTGTGTCTTTTAATTGGACCATTTAGTCCATTTACATTTAAGGTTAATATTGTTATGTGTGAACTTGATCCTGTCATTATGATATTAACTGGTTATTTTGCTCGTTAGTTGATGCAGTTTCTTCCTAGCCTCGATGGTCTTTACATTTTGGCATGTTTTTGCAATGGCTGGTACCGGTTGTTCCTTTCCATGTTTAGTGCTTCCTTCAGGGTCTCTTGTGAGGCAGGCCTGGTGGTGACAAAATCTCTAAGCATTTGCTTATCTGTAAAGGATTTTATTTCTCCTTCACTTATGAAACTTAGTTTGGCTGGATATGAAATTCTGGGTTGAAAATTCTTTTCTTTAAAAATGTTGAATATTGGCCCCCACTCTCTTCTGGCTTGGAGAGTTTCTGCTGAGAGATCTGCTGTTAGTCTGATGGGCTTCCCTTTGTGGGTAACCTGACCTTTCTCTCTGGCTGCCCTTAAGATTTTTTCCTTCATTTCAACTTTGGTGAATCTGGCAATTATGTGTCTTGGAGTTGCTCTTCTTGAGGAGTATCTTTGCGGCGTTCTCTGTATTTCCTGGATTTGAATGTTGGCCTGCCTTACTAGGTTGGGGAAGTTCTCCTGGATGACATCCTGCAGAGTGTTTTCCAACTTGGTTCCATTTTCCCCCTCACTTTCAGGCATCCCAATCAGATGTAGATTTAGTCTTTTCACATAATCCCATACTTCTTGCAGGCTTTGTTCATTTCTTTCTCCTCTTTTTTCTTTAGACTTCTCTTCTCATTTCATTCATTTGATCCTCAAGCGCTGATACTCTTTCTTCCAGTTGATCGAGTCAGTTACTGAAGCGTGTGCATTTGTCACGTATTTCTCGTGTCATGGTTTTCATCTCTTTCATTTCGTTTATGACCTTCTCTGCAATAATTACTCTAGCCATCAATTCCTCCACTTTTTTTTCAAGATTTTTAGTTTCTTTGCGCTGGGTACGTAATTCCTCCTTTAGCTCTGAGAAGTTTGATGGACTGAAGCCTTCTTCTCTCAACTCATCAAAGTCATTCTTTGTCCAGCTTTGATCCGTTGCTGGCGATGAGCTGTGTTCCTTTGGAGGGGGAGATGTGCTCTTATTTTTTGAATTTCCAGCTTTTCTGCCCTGCTTTTTCCCCATCTTTGTGGTTTTATCTGCCTTTGGTCTTTGATGATGGTGACGTACTGATGGTGTTTTGGTGTGGGTGTCCTTCCTGTTTGTTAGTTTTCCTTCTAACAGTCAGGACCCTCAGCTGTAGATCTGTTGGAGATTGCCTGAGGTCCACTCCATGACCCTGTTTGCCTGGGTATCAGGAGCAGAGGCTGCAGAAGATAGAATATTGCTGAACAGCAAGTGTACCTGTCTGATTCTTGCTTTGGAAGCTTTGTCTCAGGGGTGTACCCCACCATGTGAGGTGTGGGGTGTCAGTCTGCCCCTAGTGGGGGATGTCTCCCAGTTAGGCTACTCAGGGGTCAGGGACCCACTTGAGCAGGCAGTCTATCCATTGTCAGATCTCAACCTCCATGTTGGGAGATCCACTGCTCTCTTCAAAGCTGTCAGACAGGGTCGTTTGCATCTGCAGAGGTTTCTGCTGCTTTTTCTTTTGTTTAGCTGTGCCCTGTCCCCAGAGGTGGAGTCTACAGAGACAGGCAGGCCTCCTTGAGCTGCTGTGGGCTCCACCCAGTTCGAGTTTCCCAGCGGCTTTGTTTACCAACTTAAGCCTCAGCAATGGCGGGCGCCCCTCCCCCAGCCTTGCTGCTGCCTTGCCGTTAGATCCCAGACTGCTGTGGTAGCAATGAGGGAGGCTCCATGGGTGTGGGACCCTCCCGGCCAGGTGTGGGATATAATCTCCTGATGTGCCATTTGCTAAGACCCTTGGTAAAGCGCAGTATTGGGGTGGGAGTTACCCGATTTTCCAGGTGTTGTGTGTCTCAGTTCCCCTGGGTAGGAAAAGGGATTCCCTTCCCCCTTGTGCTTCCCAGGTGAGGCAATGCCTCACCCTGTTTCAGCTCTTGCTGTTCGGGCTGCAGCAGCTGACCAGCACCAATTGTCCGGCACTCCCCAGTGAGATGAACCCGGTACCTCAGTTGAAAATGCAGAAATCACCTGTCTTCTGTGTCACTCGTGCTGGGAGCTGGAGACTGGAGCTGTTTCTATTCGGCCATCTTGCTCTGCCCCCCCACCCACAGAAAATTAATACGTGTGGGAAGCTATCTACACAAGGCCCCAAGAAACAGGCATGGGGGTTTGAATGCTTAAGACTTTGCCAACCAAAACAGAAGTTGTGGACAAATGACTAAAAGACAAGGGGCACTCATTTTTTCCAAAGTCATGGCCTATTTAGAGCAATGCAATGAGTTTCCAAGCTTGCATTCACTGCACAAAACCCTCAGATTTCTCACAAAAGACCTTTGATCATCATCTTTCTGTTGGGGGAGAGAAACTGATAGGGTTTCCAACTTCCCTAAATTAAAATTATTCAGTTGAAGCCTGATACTAAATAAATCTAGGAAAAATAAATGGAGTTGACTTCATACTTTACATTTTTTTCATTCACAAATTTGACCATTTCTATCTGTGAAACACACCAACGCAGTAGACCATCTGCCACTTAAGTTTCTGCAGTTGCTCTTAAAGCGGATAGTGATTTTTGCCTGAGGAGAATTACCTTCTTTCATGTGTTAGCTTATCCAAGAGAGACAAAGAGAAGAGTTTTTCTATTATCCCGAGGAAGACATTGCTAGAAGGGGTTTCACAGTTTGTCCAAGCTTCCTTTTTAGAGATGAAAAAATTGCAGACATAATTTGACTTATACAAAGTCAAGTCTGACACATAATATGCACTCAATAAATAATTGTTGAATAAATGAATGAATTGAAAATTGAATGAATAAAAATTCATCCAAATTGCTGATGGCAGGACTAGCCCTAATTAGACCTTGTATACTGTATCAAATGTACATTTCACTCTGGTGAATTGTATTTTACCATTCACTCATCAGTTTCTTCAACACCCAAATTTGATCGAGCTGCTTCTGTGTGCTAGATACAATGCTGGACACTGGAGAGACAAAGATAGCTCAGGCAGGTCGCAATCTCTGCCCTCCAAGAGCCTTCTGTCCAATGGGAGCCCCTCACCACTCTATCTTCCTCCACCACTGCTATCTTTGGATTCTATTCCTTCAATTCTTCAATTACTCTCCCCTTCACTAATAAAAGGTTACTACTGATATGCTAGAAGTTTTGAAGCAATGATTGTCAAATTCTTTGGTTTCAGTACCTCTTTATATTCTTAAAGAAATTATTGAGGACCCCAAAGGGCTTTTGTTTAATACAGTTTCTTTTTCGTTTTTATAAAAACTGCTAACACTAACAATATTTATCATAATCAAAATTTAAAATGAGAAATATTTAAAATATTTATGTATTCATTCATTTAAATAACTATAATAAACCCACTACACGTTAACAGTTTGATTTTTTAAGTATATTTTTCAAAATACAAATAATTTTAGGAAAAAAGTTTTTTTAATATCTGCTTCTGTATTCAGTCTCTTGAGATATTATAGATGAGGTAGCCTCTGGAGAACTTCTCTTGGTCACCATGGGACTATGGAAATGAAAAAAAATACCATTTTAATGTTATTTTGAATATAGTTTTGACTCATGGACCCCTGGGAGGTCTTAAGGACTCCCAAAGATCCCTGACCCACACTTAGAGAACCAGTGAATACCACTTTATCTTGTCTTGAAATGTAAAAAAGGGTGGGAGAGGGAGATTGGAAAGTTATAAGAGAAAGGAAAATGCTAACACCTAGGTGTGTCAAACATCTGAACAGCTGCCCATTCAGCATGTAAAGAGTCAAATTGAGACATAATCTCCATCTATAACCACTTTTTAAGGTTGGACAACAACTCTCCAGAAATTTTTAATACTCTACCTCAGGCCTTGTGAGAGTTGAGGAAGAATCATTGCTACTCCAGTATTTCCCACCCTATTAATACAGTATGGTCCTCTTGAGGACCAAATGACTCACAAGAATAAAGGAAATTGGTTTAAAGAAAAAGGTACAATTATCCATATACTAATTTCATGTCAAATAAACACTGTTGCCTCTGCAGTAATGAAAACAAGAATAATATACCCCAAAGATATTTCTAAGCCTACGGAACCTTTCTTTTGTGTATATGTTAATCAAAGGGTACCCCCTTGTAACAAAAAGGATTTGTGAGAGATTATAAAAATACATAAAGTACAGAATAATAAAAACAAAAATAACAACATTAAAAAAAAGAAAAAAATCAACACCTAATAGTAATATGAAGCCAAGGAGTGACAATAGAGAGAAATGCAAGATGAAGAGAGTTGAACAATTATTTAAATCATTCAAATTTGATGTCCAGATCCCTTTTAGCTCTAGCATAGGCAGAAACACCATTAGCTACAAGATAATTATGTGCTAACTTTATCTAACATCACTCTACTAGCATGGACACTATGAGTCCTCATAGAGGGCACAGTAAGTGGCATAGAGAAAAAAACGTTTCTTACAACTTCCTTCAACGCAAGCTAAGGGTGTAACAGCAAGGTCATTTGACCATATATCTAATATCTTTAATATATTAAGGGTTTTATGATTCTTGGTAATCCCCAAATTACTTTTGCAAAGATTTTTAGTGGCTTTTCACCTTCAATTATTCCCATCCACACTCCCAAGTTGGCATTCAGGGCCTGTATTAGTCTACTCTCACACCGCTATAAAGATACTACCTGAGGCTAGGTAATTTATAAAGAAAGGAAGTTTAATTGACTCACAGTTCCACATGGTTAGGCCTCAGGAAACTTGCAATCATGGCAGAAGGCAAAGGGGAAGCAAGGCACATCTTACATGGCAGCAAGAGAAAGAGAGAGAGAGTGCAGGAGAAACTGCCACTTTTAAAATCATCAGATCTTGTGAGAACTCCCTCACTATCACAAGAACAGCATGAGGAAAACCACCCCCATGATCCAGTCCCACCAGGTCCCTCCCTCAACATGTGGAGATTACAATTCGAGAAGAGATTTGGATGGGGACACAGAGTCAAACTGTATCAGTGCTCTAATCTGGTTTTTTGAAGCTATTTTTCGCTGCACTCACATCCAAATCCCCTACCCCAGACAGGCTGGTATAGTCACATCAAACCCTGATTCCTGCCTCCACCCTTTCATCTATGCCACTTCTCCCACTGAGTACGTGCCCAATAGATATTTGTTACTTTAGGGTATAGGCTATGATCAGAGAAATTTTTATGAGTAATCAATCTTCTCCTTAAGCTCATTTCCACTCTTTTGTGTTTACTTTGTTTTATTGTTATTGTTTCTGGAGGAGTAGAATAGAATAGAACAAATCATGTGGACCTGGGCACCACATCTATGATTTATTTAGTGTCTCCAAGAAGATACCCTCCCACCCCTTCTCTTCCCTCGCCCGAGGTCACTGACTAAATTCCACGGGAGGTAATCATTCACTCACTCAACAAAGATTTAAGGCCAGGTGCTGTTCTGAGTCATGGAAATACAGCAGTTGAGTGAGAGAGACCTAATCCCAGTCCTCACAGGCAAAAACACAAGTAAATAAAGAAATACAAGTTATTATTAATGCTATAAAAGTCAAAACAAGGAGCTGAGGGTGAAATTGGCACTTTAGATAGGGGGATCAAGGAAAGCATCTTTGAAGAGTGATGTCTAAGCAAAGATCTTAAAAACTGAGGGAGCTGTCACATGAAAGGGAGAAAGAGCATTCAGATGAGTACATTGTGAGTGATTTTCCTCATCTATTACATGGAAGAATAACAGTTCCTACCTTGGGTGGGTGATATGAAAATTTAATCTATTAATCTAGGGAAAGCACTTGAAATTCACCTGGCCCATAATAAGTGCCATTAAGTTAACAGTAATTACAAAATTTCTATTCCAGGCAAAAAAGACAGTGTGTGCAAAACCTTGATATGTAAGGAGGTATGGTATGTCCAAGGGCTGAAAGAAGGTTGGCATGACTGAAGCATGGTGAATGAGGAGGAAAGGGTGGTAAGAAATGGCTGGAAAGGTAATAAGGGCCCCAGTAGGCAAAGCTTTGTGAGCATGACAAGGAGCTTGGGTTTATTCTAGGGACAATTTGAAAATTTGGAAGGTTGGATGCAACACAGGTGCTGCTGTATGTACAACAGACTGTAGCATAGAGTAAGACCAAAAGAAAAAAAAAAGATCAATTAAGAAGTGGTTGTACTATCCTAGGTGGAAAATGAAATAAGCCAAGATTAAGGATAGCAATGGACATAGCAAGGTCTATTGTAGAATTTGAAGGGATAGACTCTGTTAATGAATATGATGTTGAGGGGTTGGGAGAGGAGTTGGGAAATAAGTACCATGTTGGGTACTCTTGCTACCTTGGTAATAACGAGCAGACAATTGGATTTATAAATCTAGAACTCAGAGAAGAGGCCTAGATTGAAAATATAAATATTGGAGGCATCAATGTAAAAGCTGTATTTAAATACATGGAACTTGAGTAGATCAGCTAGAAGGAGAATCTGGAGAAAAAAGATTGAAGAGTTAAGAACAAGTTCTAATGAATTAGAGGTTGGGTGGAGAAGAAAGAATCAGCCAACAAGACCAGGCAGTATGATCAATGAAGTCAAAGAACCAGGAAAAAATATTGTTATGGAAGATAAGAACAAAGAATGTTTCAAAGAGAAGGAAATCATCAACATTGCCCCCAAGCTATTGAGAGTTCAAACAAGATGAGAGAATAGAATCAACCATTAGATTTGGTAACTTGGAGATCATTGGAAATCTTGGCAAAATCAAGTTCAATCAGTTGGTAGGGTCAAAGACTTGATATGAATAGGTTGAAGAGAGATTGGGAAGTGAAGATGTGAAAAGAATGTTTGTAGGCAGCACATGGGATCAGGGAAGGAGTTCTGTCATGACGGATTACTGGTATTTACAAGGAGTAAACTTTAGATTCCAGGATTTTATCTTGCAAATTTCTAAGTTCAGTCACCAAAGCCAAAATGGATTATGTCTTTTGTCCCCTAAGAAGGACCATGAAATTGTAGGAAAACACTGACAGGGCAAGTGCTATTAGTCTCACCTGGACATTCCTCCTAATTTTTCCCCTCTCTAGCTATTATTTTACTTTTCTAGCCTCAATAGCACATTGTTAAAGCCTCTCCATCCCAACGTCAAAATAACTTTCCATGATATATCACGGAAATTAATTTAATTTGCACAATTTTTGACTGGAAGACATGTGTTCCATATGTTTTCATCCCAGCCTGAAGGCCGTAACATGCCCCTCTCTCACCTGGACGCAGAATAAATCGTTAAATTTCAATGCACCAAATCAGTGTTCATTTAGATAGATGCTAGAATGAGCCAAATATACTCATTTAAACATCAATAAACCTGACCTCCAGCTGAATTCATTTGTGCAGAGGGAGGTAGGATGAATTCAAGGAACATCAGAGAACCCTGTTAGCTCTCAAGATGTTATTAAAGAGAAGGAAGAACCAGCCTCCCACCAACAGCTCCTAAATGTGATCACTTTCAATTTGTTCAATTCAGTGGATAAGTGATATACAGATTTGAGACTTGGAACAAATCGTAACAAGAATTTCAATGCTGTAATGTTCTAGCAAGAACCAAGGGCACATATCCCCATTCTGCCCTGCTGAATTAATTTGAACCCATTGTGGCTGGTTAGTCTGCTAGTATCCAGAAAAGTTGCAAAAAGCAAGATCTGCTTCTATCATCAATTCACCAGAATATACTGGCCCTCCAATCTCCAAATGCTGTTTGGTTATTCATTTTTTTTCTCTACTTTATCTAAGGGCTGTAGAATGACCACTGTACATAATATCATCACAGAAGAGAATAGAAAGCCAATTCCCCAATCAAGATTCTGTTTAAACTGTATATATTTTAAGGTAATCATTGGTTGGTTTGAAAATAGAGGTTTTTCCTTGAATTAAGTCATTAGTGGCCATAACGTAAAATGCTAATATAGATTGCCACAAGTATATTTAGGTTTCAAGTTCCTTTTATGCCACCCAAAACTGGAGGCTCAGTAAGCATTTTCATTAAAGTACTTTATCAAGGCTTTCCTTTTAACCTAACAAATTCTTTCTAACCTAACAAATAAAGTACTTTCTAACTGAACAAATGAGTAAAACCATAATTAATGAATGTTCTAGTTGTTTATCCTTGTTCTAAACATTAATCATTTAAAAATAATAGAGTGGGGAGGGAGACAGAAGGGAATCTAATGTTTACTTGGGTTTTCGATGTGGGCTAGGAGCTGTATTAGGTCCTCTCTTTTCAGTAACTGATTGAATTGATATGCCTTTCATAAAAGGTAAGTATTATTACCACTGTTTACTAATGTGGAAGCAGGATCTGGCATGTTAAGTGATTTGCCCAAAGTCACACATCTAGTAAAAATTGAATCAAGATTTGGCTGATCCTAAAGCCTATATTCTTTTCTCATCCCACTGGGCAGCCTCTCTCACAAGATGACCCAAAACCTACTGTAAATGAGAAAGGGGAGGGAGTCAAAACAATTATTTGTA